GCAGTTGGCATGCACATCCTCAGCGCGTCACTCCGCTAGACAGATGCTCTACAAATACCGCCTCTTGCGTTGCTGCTTTCTCTCTCGGTGAAGTTCAGAGGCTTTGTATGCAATCAAAAACTTGTCCCAGCTGGTGAAATAGTCAGAGTTTTGAAAACCGAGATTCAGAAGCAGTATAGAACAGCTTAACTGTATTCCCTTTCTCATTCTCTTTTGGAAGACCTTCCCAGATTCAGGGATAATATAAGTTCCCAGACATTTTCAAGTGTGTACCAAAGGTATGAGCCTCTGTCCAGCAATGCAAAATACATAATTCTTTAGATGCATCACAAGTTTTCTATCCCTCCTGAGTGATCCCTAACTTCTCACACCTTCAGTGATTTGGGGGGATGAGAAGGGGAGCACTCAATAGACAAAATGAAGGAAGGGGGGGGGGGGGGAAGGGCACGGACGAGAAAAATAGCCAAAGATAAAATTTCAGTGTAACATTTTTCATGTGATGGAGACTTCCAGAAAAGCCTGCAGTCACTACTGACAGTGGGTTTATACAATTCCCTTCAAGGTATTTACTAACAGATTCAGGATATTCCCTTTGGCTTCAGCATTTAATCTTTACAACCATAGATAGCTCTGAACTCATAATGCAAGACCTTGGATCCGTTTCTAGTTCAATACCCACGCTACTGCTTTACTGTACATTAAAGCGATAATTGAATCCAGCCTCGGGAACGGCCTTTACCTGCACAGGAAACGGCTTTTGTAGGGCACAGACTTGTGATCTGGGGACCAAACTTAATGTAAGATAAACTAGGTGCTCTGCTATTACACGAGAAACCAAAGCATTCCTGAGAAGGAAAGACAAAAGATGAAAAATTAGCAAAGCAATTACCATTACAAAAAGTAGGTAACTAATTTAATTTTTTAAAGGTTGTTTTCTAACTTGCAAGTACTGAAGACAAATCCTACCCTGAAGGCCAACTTACTGCACGTTTCAATTTTTTTTTTTTTTAACGTCTTTGGAAAATAGTTGCCTTGCAGTAAGAAAATAAATAGACATGAGGATATTAAGTGATCTGAATATTGTCTTACAAGTATTTAAAGAGATTTGTGATAACAAGTGCTTCTAAAAAGGCACGCAAGATCCAACTGCTGAAAATTTAATTTGGAAAGAAATCAAAACAAAGAATTTTTAAGAATTAGGTTACTGAATAATTCATATAGGAAAGCGTCATTTTAAAATTGGAAGTACATGGTTAATACATCTCATCTCATTTTATTGCAGCATCTGCATCTACTGCGCTTCTGCTGAAGGCGTTCACCAGCACTGCCCCTTACCAGGCTCTATCCGGGCTTCTCTCCAGCGGGTGTTGCCCACGTACGTAACCATCTTAAGCCTTTGTCCTCGCTTCCAAACGGCAAGGCAGAGCAGCACGAGGACTGAAACAGTAGAATGATGCTATAAAAAAACAAGTTCCTTCACCAGCTGGAAAGTGGAAGGCTCAAGCGGTTTATAAAGAACATCGTGTGGATCTAATGCCTCTTTTCTGTAGCCACTGCTCTTTACCTCTCTCAGAGGCGCAGCTGTGTGCAGTACGAGGATGCTCACCATCACAAGAGGACCTTTAAAAAAATGAACTTAAAGAAAACTAAGCATTTACTACAGCAATTCTGGCAGAAACATTCATTACCACCTCATTATTTGGGTGGTTTTTTTCTTAGACAAGTATCCTTACATTTAATACATGCAAATGGGTTTCTGATCGCTGGAAGTTCAGTGGTGGAAAGGTACATGAAGTTTAGACGGGAGGAGGTGGAAAAAAAAGCCAAGCACCTGGAAAACACTTCATTGCTTCTTTATTTAGATGCACCCACAGTACAGAGCCTCTTGAGCATGTGCACAAGAGGAGGATTACACATTTATAACTGGGAGCACCATTGAGTTCGAGTTTCTCTGATACCATTTTTAAGAAAGTAAACTATTTCCAAAGAATGACATTTGAATCCAAGAGCTTAAGACCTGCTTGTACTTTATCCAGAGGTGGAAGGTATTTTAATTTTTTTATTACTTCGATGTAGAGTAGAAGACATTTTCACAGTCTCGTTGGACCAGTCTATATATTTTCATATGCACCTTTTAATATATATAAAAAATGTTTCATTTTTCCCCCCTACCCACAGATAGTTAAATGCATCTAAGTTTAAAAACAGTAATGGACCAGAGCATTCCTATGGGGAAAAATGAACTTTTGCTGCCCTCTCCTGCTTAAACAATGAAATGCTAAAATATTAAGATCTATGAATCTAATGCTAACCTTGAAACAAAAAGCATGACAGGTCATTCGCTATACTACAATCAAAAATAGGACAACAACAAGAAATGTATCAGTACTATTTATATTTGAAAACTCCTCATCGTCACATGAGGTTATGAATACAACATATTTACAGGAAGTGATCCAAAAAACAAAAACTTGTATTCAGAGAGGTCATGATAGAAAGCGTGTGCTTCTGTGGATGGGAAGCAACACTTGGATAAAAGTTTTCAATCAAAATTAGTTCCATTCTGTTTCAAGATAATGTTTCATAGACTTCAAAACGAAAAACTGGGCTATACAAAACCTGCTGCACATACCAACTAGAAAAACCAACTGGTGGCTCACTACAGAGCTGCTGAGGGAAAACAGGTGAGCCAAAATAAAAAAGCCACGTGTAAATAAGAACATTCTTCAATCTTGCACATTGTCACCTTTGTCTTGTTTCAGGGCAACTGCTTTGGGATGATATTGTTACGCAATGAAGAGAAAAGGCCAACTCTTGTTTTCCAAGACAGAACTAAAAGCAAATTATTTTGGTTTTATCTGGGGGGACAGGAATCTAGTGTTTCCCCCTCCTCACTAAACAATGAAAACATTTTTAAAGCTCCTAATATGTTTTCCTTTCCATAGTGAGAGAGCCTAAGGCTGTACTTAGGCACGTATAATGTAAGTACAGCTGCTGCAATTCTTACTCAAGCAATTCTTGGCTCTAACACCCTTGACTTTTCCATATACAGGAGAAGACAAAAAAAAAAAAATTAAATCCATTTATTTATGCTAACAAAACCAAGATTAAATTTACTGTAACCCTGCTAGTGAACGCTCCAATGGCATTAGAATACTTTTATTTAAAGCATTCCACCCTTTGGAAGAGAGACAAAAACCACTCAAAAGCAACGAAAGGAAAACAATAGGGGAGACTTGCAAGATGAAGAAAGCAATGTGTGTTCAATTTGAAGTATATGAGAGGAACTTTACTTTTACAGTTGTTATATCCCCATGACCTGATGCAATGCCCTAGTATTGAAAATGCAGCTCATCCCTTTTACCAGAGAGCATTCAATCCTTTCTCCTGAAACCAATATGGTACAGGACACGAGCGACCACCCAACAACTGCTGTACGAGCGGTTAATAAAAACATTTACACAAATAAAGGTAGTTTCTGGAACTCAAGAAGGAAACGAAAGCATAATTAAACAGACGCACTGATCACACTTGAGCCCATACGCTGCCGCCTACTTTGCCTGCAACTCCAATTGATACCAATGGGAGCTCTGCAGAGTGGCAGGACATCGCATTTGGATTGTGGCAAACAGAGGATCCCCGGGGGTACGGTCGTATCATTGTGGCAAGTGCTTCTTCACGTGCATCGCACAGTGCAACCTAGTGTCGTATCAGCCTTTTAGAGTCAAGTGACTAATATCACATCGTCTCATTCACTTTAAAGAAACATTCCTTCTCGGAAGTGATAAATCATCTATAAACTTTAGATACTCCCCACTATCCCCACATCAGAGGTAACATCCGAGGTAACAAAATATTGCAACCCATCAGGTTCTCATCAGTTTTGTATGATCAATACCAGAATGTCATGTCAAAACCAAAAACAGTTATGAACAAACAACACTCACCTAAACTCTAAGTACAGGACAAGGTGCTTTTTCTAATTTCACATTGTTGTGTTTTACTCCACCAGGTGGAAAACATTAATCTTTTTTCCTCCATTCTATCTCAGTTTTTCACAACTGAACACAGTCTTTGAGCATGTGTTTAAGTCCACCCTCTTGTAAAGCATGATCATTTCACAAAGAAATCACACTAGCGAATATTTTTTTGGTAACAGAAATAAAAGACTGTCAAAATCAATGGGCTAAGGGACATGATTTGTTATAAATTTATTTAATCTTCAGTATTTCAGCTTGCACCTTTGCTTCAGCACTTTAAAATAAAATGTTTCAACTATGACAGTAACTGCCTAATTTACATTGCGTCCCAGTCAGTGTTCTTAAAAGAAGCTCATCTTAATCCCATTAAACCATGTCGTGTTTGGTGTTGCATATGACTAGTTCCACTTTTTTTCCCAGAATTAACAGTGTCAAGTTTTTACAAAATCATTGAGTTTACAACATTGGTGTGCGCAGACCCAGGAGTACAAACTGTGACCTGATAATCCTGAAACAGTCAGTAGTCTAGGAGGGAATGCTTTTTTACCTCTTTTCCATGCCTGAAAACAAGAAAACTTCAAATCCTACTGCATATTTAAATGGTAGGAAGAAAAATATACAAGCTTGTATTTATACTGTATTTCTATCAATGGCAACAGGTCATAAATTCATGTTTGCAACTATCACAAAGACTCATGAACACCAATTCATTTTTATACTGTAAATACTGCTGGCTTGATGGTTTAGGATTATCAATTCACTGCTGTCATATGTCTGTAACAGTTCAAAAGCATCCTGGAGAAAAATCCTGAAACACATACCTTTCGGTATATAATAATGCAACTGCATTAGCTAAATATATACTGTACATAAGTCTTATCAGCATTTTACCTACCAAAGATGTAAGATTCCACTTTCAAATACAAAGCAGATAGCCAATAATGTATACTTATAATACAGCCCTCTTCTTTTTGTTTGTTTTTTTTTCTTTTGTTTTAAACAATTTGGTCACAATGCACCTTTGATATAAAAGCATTTTAAACTTTATTATTAATACTCAGAACATTAGGATTTCCAGAATTTTTTTCAGTAGCATTTGTAGAACCACTTTTGGTAACAAATACAGTAGTTAGGAATGAGCATCCAGATGAGAATGCAGAAGTAAATTATCCAGAATCCTTTCCAGCTAAGACCATAGGGCTGGTACTGTGATGAGTAATAGTACTAGAACCACAAAAACACTATAGTATGTTTCTTAGAGGCTACATCCTCTTTTGCTGGAACACTTTATAAATACATATTAAAAAGTAAGGCAACAACTCCAAACAGTCCAAACTGCTATCTCAACTCCATTTCCAATTAGACCCATGACCCCTGGAGATCAATTTCATGCTTGCACTGTTTAGCGTTTGTCTTTATTCTTTCAAAATGGTCCAATAAAAACATACTGTAATAATTTAGCAATTAGTATTTCTAAAACAACTCCAGTATGTGTGTCTGATGCCATATCACTAATACTGGTTAGGTACTGAAGGCCAGGGTGTTACCACTGCCCATTCTTAAAGGATTGTGGACATTAATTTGGATTTGCAATAAATAGGTGCATGAATCCAAAGCTCCCTTTCCTACTATGTTTATCACCTACTTGCTTTTTAACTCCTAATGTTCAAATTAAGGAAGCACCAGAGACAGCCTGGTACTAAAAAAATGCTCACACCAGTAAACAAAACTTTTATTCAGGACCTATGTTTTTCATGGCCCTGATCTGAATGGACATTCAACTTATGAAGATGTGCAAAAGGAAAAAAAGTCAAATTACAGTAAAGTTATCCAGAGAAGGAGGATGTTACACAAACTCATAAGGAAATGACAGTCTTTTTTCTCTTTTACTATAAATACACTTAACAGTTTAGCAGAAAGACAAGCTAAATTTTAAGATTGTTCACATTTGAAAGTTGTAGTATACTCTCTGCTAACGATAAATAAGGAACAGGTCCTGACAATGGAATTTGACATCGCAATTTTCATCAACAGATCTTTGAAGACTGGTTTTAAAGAAGGGTTAAAACAATGATTATGTTTGCAAAGTTCTGAGAAGTCCATCTGCTGTCCAAACTTTGGATTAAAGTCCTTATTTTTTTCCTTTACTTAGAGACAGGTATATACAGTGCTGTTGTAATAATGAAACAAATGTGAAATCTACTGTAAAGTTGCACAATACAGAAAACTTGCTCCATCTTCTACTACATAAATGTGTGACTCCACAGGTTAATAATGCTGTTTTGTTTTTTTGTTAAGTTGGAATTATTCCATCACGTCTAAGACCTCTCTTTAATTCCAAATCCTCCAGTTTTTTCCACAGTTCTTCACGTTCTTTCTCTTTCTTCTTCTCACTGACAGATGAAATAAAACAAAGAGTTAGCAGGAGAGAAAACAGTAGAATATTTATGTTAAAAAATATACAGTTGACATTAATTAGCAGGGCTAATTTTGTTGAACACAACTGCCATTCTACTAACATACATTTAATTTTTGCAAATATTTTTCTTTGGGTTTTTTTTTTTGCTTTTCATTACCTACATAAATATCACTAAACAAAACAGTAGGAAAAGAACATAAAACGCAAGCTGAACAAAGTGACAGTGTTCATAGACACTAATTTGGAATACAAAAGAAAAAAATGCCATAGACTTTTATTATGGAACAAATATATCATGATTTTAAAAATTAACAATTCAGGACTAATTTACATTTAATTAAGCAAAGTACTTTTTAATCTTATAAATAACAGTCACTTACTAAAACAAACATTCCCTTATCCTTTTAGAATCTCTATTCTTACTTACATTGACTGGTGGTTTTCATATAGCTTAGGTACCAGCCAAGGGAAGTTCAAGTTACAAGATGTGTCCTTTGTTCAGTGATTTACTTTTTTTTCCTTGCCAAATTCCTACAAGAAGATCTATGTAGCATTTCCTTTAACAACAGACTTTAATGGCTGATTTGATAAAATTACATAGATAACCTAACATTTGCTTTACCTGCATTATTTACTTTCTAAATTTCCTGTCTCTGCCATAGTCTACTTTGAATAAATCTCCTTGATGCTGCAAGGTACAAAATGCTTTCAATTCCTATTACATCACCTTGTACGTTTAGATGAAATGGAAATCTAAGAATTACAGAGATATGGATTCTCTGCCAGTTCCATTAGAGAATTCTTGAAAAATATTTCAGCAAATTAGAAAGATCCCTATACATCTTGATTCAGTCAAAATGCCAACACCTGGCTCATTTATTTGAAATTTTAATTTCCCAAGAGTATTTTAAACACATTAAAAAATACAAACAACTTTCAGATAAATCCCTGAAAAACAGTAAAGAAAAAAGAAAAGAGCCCACTGTCACTAGAAGTATTTAAAATCAAATATAAGAACAAGTGAAATAGCCTGACATTTTCAGGCTACTTACCGATATTTATCTTCTAATCATTATGAAATACAAGCCTGCTTACCTAAAAGACTGTTAGAAGATGATCACCTCATCCAACTTAACTATCTGACTTATCATAGTCATTAATATTGAACATAGTTCTCCTCAAGCTTTAAGTGGCATCAAAGCTACCCTTTTGAAATGCAGTTTTATTAAGACGCTAAAGATTTTCTGTAAACTTTAAGGTAAATATCCTACTTCACACAGTCAGGTATTTATGTTTTTAAATTATAAATAGTAAATTAAAATGGTGAAACGGTTAGCACCAGCCTTGACAGGAGATACAACGTCAGTAGGTGCAAGAAAAATTCTTTGTGCAGTTCAGTCAATAAACCTCACCCATTATCCAGACATGGTACGTACTACTACAGTGTCTGGTCCTGGTAAAGCAGAGTGCCTCATCTTAAGGGAGAAAGTGCAATCGCAAACTGATTTAAGTCACTGAGGTCCCTCAGTAAATGGCTGGATTAGATGACCAGTCCTATGTTTCTCTGCCTTTTCTGCTTAGAAAACCATGCAGTGTTGTCTCAACTGCACTAGCAGATTGAGACGTATTTACCAACACGTATCTGGAATTCAGCTGGCATCTTAGCTCAAATATATATCCAAGTGTCTAAAAGTAAAATACTGTATTAATGAACTAACTTGTTAAGTGTAGAATCTTTTCTGCATAAAACTTTGCATTTTACAACAAGAAAGCAGAACAAAAGGACTCCAGTCACACAATTCAAAAACTATGGCCTCCAAGAGCCTTTAGAGACTACACTAACCAAACAAGGTCTGATGACATACAGTACCCTTTGCTTTGCTTGGGGGAACCCTGTGTCACAGAAAATTTATGACTTAAATGAAGCTACAAACTGTTTAGAGTTCCTGAAGTTTCCTCACTTTTTTCACGTGACGCTTTGGATAAGCTGAAACTTTTGCGAAAAGATGCTGCACTATCATTGAAAAATGAAGATTAAGGAAAACAGGAGGAAAGACAAAAAGCATTTTACTAGGGAGGAACTAATGATTGTATGAATGGTGTATCTAATGGATCCTGCATACTGAAAGACTAAGATACAGCAAGACCTCTGAATAAGAAATGGAAGGACTGAGAGATGCTTCTTTGCTTTAAGACCACATTTAGCCTAAGAACAATAGTTTGGAAAATAAAATCTTAGGGTTTTCCCTCATGTCTCTTTCCAAACCTCAGTGAGACTTTTTCGAAGTCTTTGAGCAAACTGTTATCTATAAACCCTTGTTTTTCTTTTGTTATTGAAGACCTCGGTAAACGTAAGTCTTTTGGAATGAGGTGTCCAAAGGAATTCCATGAGGAATGCAGATTCCCAAGCAACGCAATGGATACTGTATTTCATGAGGGGTGAAGAACAACCTGTACATGGTATTATCTTACATCTTGCAAAGAGAAGGCTGAAGAGCATGCAGAGGGAAAAATGAGGTATTGCATCTATTATGTGTGAGATTATGCAACTGCATCTGAGCGTAAGGGAAAACCTAAACAGCAGGCCTTATGCACAGCTGACAAAAAAAGCTTTAAAAAGTTACCGCTGACGATCTGACTTGTAAGTGGCTGTCAGCTCGTCAAACATGGTGCTGTTCATTTCCATAAATGCCTTCAACACATTGTAGACTAGAGCCACAATAGCCCTGTGAAACATTAAAAAAGAAAAAAGAAAGGAGTCTATTAGTTTCAGGTGAAATCAAACGTGAAATAAAAGTGTCTTCTCTTGCCGGCATTTCTGCAACCAATTCTGCTCTTGCAAGTATGATAATGTAAATTCTTTGATTTCAGTGAAACTACTTTTGATTAACATATTTAAAGGTGAGCATCAGCTTTCATGTCTCTACTGACTACTTAAACGGAGCAAACCAAAACTCTAGGGTAAAAGGTAACAACAGAAAGCTATTACATATAACTACAGACTCTTCCCTCATGCAGTAGAGCAATTCTGAATGCAACTCCAGGGATTCAAATCATCAGTGCCAGTAAAAGGAATAGAATTTAAAACACAAAATGGGAGTGATTCGTATTTCCTTATGACTTTCCTATGAAGTTGAATATTCAGTGCATCTGTGCAAAATACAAGGTCATATTTCAAGAGTGAATTCCTCGTACTCATTCATTTCATATTCATTTTCACTTTGGTATAGCCAAAAACTCTTTAAAAACCCACAAATCCTTCAGATGAGTGCTGCAGTATCTGTGTAAAACTGTGTGTGTGAGTGTGTGCGTACATATATAAATTTAAAAAATACTATATATTTTATATATAAAAAATATATATAGTATCTATATCTTTCTCTATAACCTCTGCCTATTTTGCTTGTTGCTGCTCCTGACTGTACCCAAGAGCCAATACACCACTGCTTATTTGAATTCGAGTTGCTTAATTGCATAAAACATGACAGGCATGATCTGTTCATACAGGAAGAAATTATGTATAATAATAATGATTTCAAAGAGGCTTCAAAGGCATTCTCTCCCACAAAGGTTCAAAAAAGGTAGAATCAGTTTACTCTTTTATACCATCTGCCTGAATAACTAACCTAAAATATACTAGAATTTCTGAAGTAAGATAGGTCTGCCAGGAGTCCGATTATCTAGAGGTGAAAATTCCATTCTGGCGGACTTGAAGATAAAGAAACAACAAAGCAACTGAAAAGGGAGAAGGGAAAGAAACAAACCTAAAAATCTTTCAAAGAATTTGGAATAGATTATCAATCAAGAGATCCCAGCTTCTGAGCCACCACTATGGTTGTCATAAACAGACATGGGGCTGCTTAAGAAACAGCTCTTCAGCCAGGAGGCAGTGAATCAACATTACAGGTGCCAGGAACCTTTGGAGCAAACCTATATAGCAGACAAACTATGTGCCATTTCCCACACTCCCCCCCTCCGTCCATCATTCACCTCTTTCAATAGACTTTCATTTTTGTTGCCCGCATTTAAAAATGTTCTTATAAATGTAAAAATTCTTTAAATACCTTCTTTATTTTACCTATATCTTAACCTGGTTTGTGTGTCAAACGTGCAACATTTCTGTGGGTATGAAAAGTCTGAGAACTGGGACACTGGAATACTCTCATTACCAGAAGCATCCCGGTGCATAGCATAAAAGGGTGGGCGGGAGCAGGGGCGGGTTGGAGCCTGGTAATGCTTTACTATGCCATGAAAAGTGTCTTTTTGTGATGAGGGTTAGTTACAGAAGCTTTCCAGTCGCATTAGATTTCTCATGAAAATACAGAACCTTGAGGTTTGGCTAGATTCAGAACAAAAAGACTAATGTTTTAAAAGATGAAATATTTTACAAATACTTTACAGTAAGGTCTTCAAGCAACTGGGACCTGAATGTAGCACAGATCATTAAAAATACTGGGTTTACTAATTGGTAAGCACCTTGACTTAGAAAAACTGAAGTGTAGAATACATGGCATGTAATTGTAATAGTATTTTCCATTAAAACACTTTCTACTAGGTCATTCAGTTTAAAATAAAAATTCCAAATTATCAGGATATCTATATGAAGTAACTATTCTATTACTGTGCGTAATAGAGAACAGCTGTATTTAAATAAATTTAGAAAAAACAACCCAACCTAAGAATATACAGATGTCTATATGCTTCATAGATGTTCAGAAAAATGCCAGTACCAGAGGTCTACCAGAAGTATCAGCATCATCCATGATACAGCCACAAAGTTTTACTAATGCCAAGTGATATTCTTCTAGATAATTTACAATCAGGCTTAAGACATTAACCATTTTATAAAAAGCTGTGCAGGAGAAACGCTTGATGAGCAACACTTTCTCCAGTAACAATGTAACATCTAATTTCTCTGTTTTCCAACTTGTGAGAAGGTCTATTTTTATCCCATAAGGTACTGATTTTGTACACATACCAGATAATTAAAAACATTTTGAGACAAGCTCAAGTATAGACTAAATTATATTGGCATTAACAGAGTTGCACCTGCTCATGCCAGCTTTGAATTTGGATCTCTCCTGTTCAGATGTTCTTAAGCAGACATTCCCTAAGGTTATCAGTGGTATGTCAAATGGTAAGATAAGGAGTAATGGCAAAAACTTACGGATTCCAGTGCTCTTTAGAAATCCTATAAAGGCTGGAAAACATGATGGGAAGTATAACATTTGAATTCTCCTCTATCAAACTCATGATGTATTCGTTATTCCAATAATACAGCGCTCTTTCGGCCACCTTAGAGTCAAAGGAATAAAATATTAACAGGGATTCAGATACTTGTAAGTTTCTGAAGGAAAAACAAATCACAGAAATTTCACAAAGATGAATTAATAGGAATCATTAAATTTGGAATTACAACTCTACTTTAATCAGTAGCATAACATGCATTAATGGAATTAAGTTTTTATCCTATAATTCAGATCCCACAGCACCCACTCTCTTCTTCCCCTGAGCGATATGTCTTTAGTCACTGAAGAGCAGGTGCAGGCACTGCACTAATGCTGCAGCTGTGGAGGGGAAGGGAGAGCAGACAGACTTCCCATCACCCCTCTCCCTCAATCTTGTGACTGCAGTTGGAAGGAAGAGAGTAGTGCTGGGATACCGGAGGAAGGAGACAAGGAAGGGGCAAGTAGCTGGGCTGAATAAGGGGGAAGAGATCTTAAGTGTGGGGAAGGTACCAATGATGATAATCACCCTGGGGAGGAGACAGGGAGGTAGAAGGGGAAACACTGATCTAAATTATGCTAAAAAACAAATGTAGTCCAAGGAAGACCCTAAAAAAGTCACATCTGCCTTTGTGCCAGAATAGGTCACCTAGCTTAATATGGAGACACTACAGGCCATAAATCCTATCTCCTCTTCACATATGATTCAACTTAAATCCTATTTGTTCCCCTTCTTCCCATTATGCAATGTGAAGAAAACAGGCTACGGGTTCTATCACCGCTAACCAGACATCTCCTCGCAGAAAGAAGTAAGTAAGAAAACAAAAATGCTGCACAATACTGTGGTAAAAAAGGGAGTAAATACATCTTACGTGGTCTATCAGTCTGAAGGCCATATGGTGAGTACCCACCACAACAGTCAGAAGGGGTCAAAGTCTGCTTGGATACAGTTTAAGGCCTTATGTGGCTCAGAACGGCAAGCTCTATGCTGTAACCCCACATACATCTAACAAGTTACTCACGGAGTAACTTGTTCAAGAACTGAACTTCCACTGCAACATACCCTCTTCCATAGAAATCCAAAAGACAAGTATTTAAAACCACGTAACATAAAATAATATTTATATTTGAGGGGTGTTATGTGTGAAATTGAGACCGTACATTCCTATACAAACAATAACCTCTACCACTGACCTGGAAATGAGGGCTAGAGACACACTTGGCAATTTGTTTAAACAAGGGTTCCTGGATTTTGACAAATTGTGATGGTTCAATTACATCCAAGATTTCCTCCAGCTCTCCTAGGAACATGACCTGAAGACAAGGAAGGAAGCATTGAATATAAAACCTCTGAATCATCTTGATCAGCAAAATGCTCGTAATCCTCAAATTCTATCACTTCAGGGAGAAATGGAAGCCTCGCTAACTTAGCAAGACCCTCTCTCAAAAAATGCTATCAGTTCTACCTTTAGCAGGTTCTGGATTAAGTCTCTTAAAAGAAGGAGGATGAGTGTGTGCAAATGCTGTATTTAAAGTAGTCCTTTACAACAAAATTCAGAATTGCACCAGTATAAACGTGCTGAAAATCTAGCCTCATACAGACAAAGTATTTGGCCAAGGCTTAAACTTTGTTAACTAAGGAGAGTGTTTTAATTTTATCTCATGTTCGGAAGCAATAGTCAAAATAACGGTTTTCCTGTGTCACAAAATCTCTTTAGGGAAATTTAGATTTGCATCAAGAATTTGAAACAAAAACACAAAGGTCTAACTGCATCTTTTACATGCTGAGTAGGTAAATGCCATCTTTCATCCTCCCTGGGAAAATATTATCCTCACATATAAACAATTCCAAACCAGAGTTTTCCAATCTATCCTCAACTATGTTTATTTTCTTCTTTCTAAATCAAAAAGAAATTCTCCGCAGAAGAATCAGTGCTTATTTTGTGAACAGAAACCATAGTTATCAAACTTTTCTCTTCATAGTCAAAACTGTCCACGAGTATGGAAAATCACCAACATGAATTAATACCAAGGTCCCCTGCAACATGTGCTATCTACCTGGAAATACCTAAAGACTCCCTGATTATTATATTGTAGAAAAACGCAACTCCTATGTTTTGTTAATGCTAGCATATCACTTACCTCCTTCTGACTGCAGGTTTTTGGCCAGAATTTCATTAAACCTCTAATGACCTAAATTAGAAGGAAAAAAGATTTAGTGTTTTTACTTTTCTCTCAACAGGGTAAGCCATTTATGATGCAAAAAAAAAGTATGAAAGAATTATTTACTGGTTCTGTGAGTGAGGGGTCTTTCTCCAGAAACTGTACTATGCAATACGCCAGCTGTGAAGAGAGATTTAAGAAAATGAAGTCAGAACATTTCTATAAAGAAACCACAAAGAAACAATTTTTCACAAAAGAGACTCCATGCAAGATACTATACAGCTGTCTCAAACTGCACCCAATTTTAAAATGAGATCGTTTGCACTGTGCAAATCCACTCAAACTTCAGTTCATAAGAAACAACAGAACACATTACCAAAAAAAATAGTGACAAAGTAGCATATACAATAAAAATCAGAGCAACCTTGAATTCTAAATATAGTCATACAATCAATGTTTTGAAGCTTCTGTTACTCTGTGAAACTGCATCTTTTTAGACATTTTATACATCGGCAAAACCATGAAAACTCTTGGAGGATGAGCCAATACAGCTAAAACCTGGAATAACAGGTTGAATGTATAAAAAAGATGTATGAGAGCATAAGTGCAGTATTGAGAAATCTGTGAGGAACAATGTTAAAGATTATGCAAAAATGTGGGTATTAGTATTCAGAAAGTTGCCAGGGTGAAGAAGAGCCTTGACAACACAAAACTAAGGAAACCTCTTGGGAGAGGTTTCCCCAATGGGAAGGGCAAACTTGTGAGAATGAGAAAATAGCAGAGAGGAAAAGCTAAAGAGAGTTTAACTACTAAACAAAATCCCCAAAATATTACAGATGTATGTTACACTTTTAATTATCTAATCAGAACAGAAGCAAGACATGTATCATACAAAGCACATTAAATGAATTTCAAAAAAATCTATTGCATTTTTTCCACGTTTCAAAATTTCCCCCCTCCTTTTATGTGCTACACAATTAAATTTCCAAAGCAACCTTCAAAAAACAAATACGTAATTCTAACTGAGCAGAAAATATTTTTATAATTTCTACCTGTGCATGGAAGAGTGATAAACTCCTGACAGTATGTAAAGGAATCAGCACCTTCACCAGAAACTGTTTATGCTCTGCCTTAAGAGGTAAAGCAAACCCATTGATAATACTAGAAATTAGAAGAGAAATATTTGTTAGTGTTATCATCACAAAAAACATTCTTGAGGTCTCAATAAGCACTTTCTAGATTAAAATTATTAGCAGCCAGCACCTGTCTACAAATAGCAGGCTCATGCCATTCGTGCACAGGTGCCGACTTTTGTCCTGCTTTATATGAGCACTGCAGTACATATCTAGGTAGCAATTCAGATCCATCTTAGAAATAAATAATCACATAAACAGCTGCACAAACCTGTTGCCAAGCAGATAAGCCCTTGTCTATGTGGTCTGTAAATTCTTGTATGCAAGGTGTTCTTGAATAATTAGCTTACCAGAATTAGATTTACTCAAAATATTCACACTCTTAGTGTGCTTGAAAAAATTTCTGTAGCATGTAAGGATGAAGTGCACAAAATTTCACATGCACGAATACACACACACAGAATCAATCCAACACTTTTGGCTGTAACTTGCATCCAGTTATATACTCTTAGCAAAGATGTGATAGAGATTTGTGATAGAGTATTTGAGATGGGCTTAAAGATGAGCATGTGCACACACATCTGTTTTCAGAATCAGGGCTTACAGTAATACTTTTTCTGAATCTGACACTATTCTGACGTATCCAGAAGGGAACTTTGAGATAGATAATAAATTTACCTTCCTAAAATTTCCAACAGTTCAGCTACGCCATTGAAGTGTTCAGTTTCATAAACAAATCTAAAAAAAGAAACGTGAAATTTAAGTAATATATCAGTTCCCTAAAATGTTCATAAGCAAAAAGTACCTTCTCCCACAACTTACCGTAGAAAAATATTATTAATCTGTTTTCGGATAAATGCTCTAAGACCCAGAAACTTGCCATAAATTCTGTGCAAGACTGTTTTTAGGTAGTCTCGTTCTCGAGGGTCTTCGCTGTCAAACAGCTCCAACAGCTGCGTTTAAAGGAAAAAGAGAACTGAAACAGTAGACATTTGACAAGTATGACACACAGACTTCTATATAAAAATTAAATTCATCAAAGCACATGCATGTAACGATGTGATATCTGTGTTAACCAAGGTGTAGAAATACAGTATTAAAAAATCGGTTGTAACCCTGGTACAACATCATGAAATTCAGTTTATTAATTTCCACTTCTGACATAACAAAACTTTGGAAATCTTTGAACAGCTAATAACCTTTTGATTACCTGGCTCCAAAATGCTGCCTGCCTTCTCCCCAAAAATAACTAAAATAAAATCTTAGACGCTGTCATCTCTACAAAGTAAGACAGTTTGCCTCTTATCATCCACCATTCCTTCACTCTGCAGAACTAGAAGATCATCTTTTGCTCTAATATTTTGTTCCCACAACATTGTGTCAAGGTCACATTTTTAACCCCAACAACAGAAAACCAACCTTTACACTAAGTAACTCTTATTTAAGACTTTAAACCAGTGAAATGATTACACGGTGCTCAGTCAAAAGAGAATACCATCCAGTGTCTTGTATTGTACAAAATATATCCCAAAACACTGACAGTTAAAGTTGCCTCTAAGAATTAAGGCATGAAATGAGCAGCAGGACAATCACTTGCCGATCTTTGTTCTATTCACTTTGAATCCTCTACCACAACAGTATGAGCTTCCCCCTACCCCTTCTTCATCTTTTTTGACACCACAACATGGTCTACTCTGGCAGACATTTGGAATAAGTTAGAAGGTAAACTTTATTTAAAAGCAAAAACCAACCAAAAAGAAAAAAAAAACAAAACACGAAAGACCCCAACCCCCTCCCTCCCCAAATGCACAGAAAGGAGTGAAGTTTAAGGTAATAATCATAAACAACCAGCATCTCTCTTGCACAAAAAATAAAGGAACTGTCAAACAGTACTTGTCTTGAGAGAGAAAGGAAGCCAAAGAGGTCTTACAAATGTATAAGATGCTGTCAAAAAATTATTACAGGAAAGGTAGAAGCCCAAATTATCTTGGATTCACAAATAAATATATTATAAATACCTATTATAAGTAGATATGTCAGTGTGTGTATACTAAGTGATCTCTGCTAAACTGCTACATGATTTTGAGGAGGTAAAAAAGAAAAAAAGACAGAAAAAGTTGTTAAGCTGTCTGGGATTTTGCTTTCTAACATCCAAGTTTACAACTGATGTATGTATTTCTTCTTCATTGTTTTGGATGTGTCTGTAGCCTGTAATGACATCCCACTGTCTCTTCCCTGTAGTAAGAATCTGTGGTGGGAATTTCATGAGGAAAGGATGAGGTTTGTCAGCTGCCCTCCAGAGGTTATAAACACATTGCTTTGTTGAATTACTTCTACAGTTAAATAAATAAATAGTCACCTCATCCTTCCCCAAATAGCAAATTTCACCCAAAGACAGCAAACAGCTGGAAACACTTATGTTTTTAATTTGCTTATTGGATTGATTTTAGGAGCAAAATATTTGTATTTCCAGTTCTCTTACACAGATCCTCTGTGGAAACATTGCTGAACTAAGACCCGGTCTCTCTCCATTTTTTTTTTTTTTAAGGAAAAAAAAAAGACAATTCTCTTTATATGTCTAATTTGTTATCAGATTTCAACAATAAAGTCTTCTTTTCATGGATAAGCTGCAAGACTTCCATAACGTACATGGCTATTCTGACACTAAACATACATAGAAAAGGGAAATAAATTTTCCAAAATAGCAACCTACATAACACAGACACTTGTAGATATATTTGAATAGTATGTCTCTTAGCAACCACTGCCAACCATTTCAGACTGTTACACTGTTAACTACAGCATTTTATCAAAACATACAGCTGGAAGCCAGAAACACATCTATATTCAAAAAACAAAAGCAAAAAGCAAGCAAACAAGAAAAAGCTTGAAAAATGCCCATTAAAAAAACTGTATGATTTTCTCATATAGGCATTCTTACTGCCAAGAAACACTTCATTAAAGTTCCTCAAATTTAAAAAACAAAACAAAACAAAACCCAAATTAATTTAGAGAGAAAGCTGATTTCAGAGACTGTCACACTTGTGTTGTCAGTGTCATGAAACACCAAACATGCTTAATGTTCTTAAGTCTCAAATTGGTTTCCTATGTAAGTGATCTGTAGTCACAGATTCTTAGGCGTTACTCTAGAAACACAATAAATACCGTAAGAAGTGGAAGGACACCCCAGTTCCCACAGGCTAAACACAAACACTCATACACATGGAAATATATCTGCTTACATGTATACATAAGGCTCAAGAAAACTTTTTACGGAAAAAATGTGACTTTTAAACTGACACACTGTGCATAGCAATATATAAAAATGCATCACCTAACCATGTGGCAAGAACTTATGGATTCTTAGAATTCTTTTGAACTCTTAATTGTCATATCATACATTTTCGGATATGTAGGTTTCTAAATCTCTTATTTTCCTCTTTCAGTAGTTAACCATTTTTTTCATTTAGTAGATTTATTAAAGACTAACAGGATTAATAAAAAAAAAAAATAATCCTTGTTTTAGAGACATTCTCCTGTGCCAAGTTGTAACAGGTCTGAATGCCTTGAAAGCGCGTTAGTGGGATACCACCAGTCACAACCAAGTCCAGCAGTACATAACAGGAGGATCCAGGAACTATTTTCTCTAGATTTGGAAGTAGAACACAAGCATTCCTTCTAAAGCAATGCTGCTATATCTAAAGAAAATAAAATCAGTTTGGAAAATCTTGTCAAGAATTATTACCCCCTATGCATATTCTTAGATCTCCATCAAGTACTGGATGATCAGATTCGTGCACTCCCTTGTTCAAATCAATATATGGATGAACAAAAAGGAAACTACACCAGATAGGTTTGACCCAGGTGAAAAACGCTCTTGTATTTAGATGATGGATAAAATAAAAACATAAGTATATCCCATTGCTTTTGTAGGGTGAAGAAGGTCTTGTGATATTGAGATGGAAATTGAAGTCCCTTCTTTCAATCTTTGAATTTAAAGATATAAATTGCTTTCTTAGCTATGTTTCTCAGGTCTTCTTCATATGAATAACATACAAGGACAGTAAAAGCAAGACTTTTATTGCCCGAGAGCTAGAGGGAAAAGTAAAAGCTCGATGACAAAAGGGTGAGAGAAAGGTCTTCAGAATGCTGAGTATCTCCTGCCACTTCTATTTGGCTTTTATTCAAGTCTCAGCCTGTAAGGAAACTCCCTTTTCTAAATAAGTAGGAATCTTTCTAAATTTCCCTGATTTCAAAAGCAAGCTATAGACAGCATTGAACACAAAGTTCTTTCTGACTTTGCCGTTATACAAAAATTCACAATGGGAACAGAAAACACAAGTCAGGCCTATTCCCAAAAGCTGAAGACAAAAGTCCTATCAGTGGAGTTTCCTGGCTTATTTCAGAAAACATCTTCCTTCAGCCATCTCTGTTCCAGCATCTGTCAAGGGCCGGATGAAAATTCCTCAGTAGAGGAGACCAACTACTGTAGTTTCAAGTGAAGTAACAAAGCACAGAAGTCTAGCTTGTACACAAGGAGGAGAAAGACGAAAAAAGTGTATAACACCTGGCTACCAGCTGACAGAGGCCATCTCTTCCATTTAGCCATACCGATGGCAAGCAAACTACAAAAATAAAGCTACCCATTCTTTGCCAATGTTGTTTATTATTGATGCTACTTCATCTTCCATGCTTTTAATAGAGCTTGAACTTTATATGGCCTTTTGATTTACTTCCTCTCTGACCGCTACAGCATCACTGTTTTCAGTACTGCGCTGGGAATACGCTTGTTAATGAACTTCTGCCCCTGTTGCCGGCTCTCCAGCAGAGATAGAAGGGAGAAATATTCTCGCCTTCCAACAGAAATATTTTAACAATATTAAGACGCATTAAAACTGGCATTTAAGTAGTCTCTCTTGATAGCAGCATTTTTAGACTACTTGATAGTAAACCTTTCATTTTTCAACAGTTACTGTTTCAGTTTGCTCTCATAACCAGTAAGTCAAATATTTTGATTAAGGTATCAAAACTGGAGCCAAACCAACTATTTAATATATCTATAGCAACAGAGACTGACATATAAACACACACACATATTTCCCCTACCTCAGTAGATTGAAAACTTTCATTGTGTATGCTTGTTTAGCCTTTTTCTGTTGCAAATAAAGTTACACTTTCAAATTCTAAACAAAATCATTTTAAAGACTTTTTTTCAAAAGCAAAATGATGCCTTAAAGAAAACAGATCAACTTACCTGCAATACAAATTTCTGATCTATGTACTTTTTGGCAATGCTGGGCTGGAATTCTTGGCTTTCCAAAAATCTTATGAAAAACTCATATACAAGCTGCAAAACAAACAAACAAAAAAATCCATGATTTCGTTTATGACTATTTCCCTAAATGCTTTTGCTAGAAAATAAAATACCCACACATTTCCACAGAGCAAAATGTTAAAATAAAGAAAAATATTCTTCTCCTTTATCAAATTGCTACCTTAGAGTAAGAATTAATTACATGAGCTTTTTAAGTTAGTTTTGCTCATTTAACTCCAGTCAGACATTTCATCACCAAGAACAGGCATTGCCATCTTGTAACACTTGTTACCATCTTGTAAAGCTTCCAACAGTAATTGGAAAGCACATTTAAACTGCCCTCTGAACTGCTGAAGTCACATCAAATACAAACATTACATTTCTGGAAGGGCTGGTGAAACAGTTGAAAATATTTAAATTAAATTAGAAACTGCTTAGAGTAGTGTTCTACTACAACTTGAAACACAGAAGAATAATACAAACCAGAATTTATAAGGAAGTTCCTAACTTAACTGTAAAGATTAGCCTCAGGGCTGGAGAAAACCTGCTTACTTTCATGCAATTCTATCTCTGCCTAAACTATTCAGTGGGACAGGAACAGACTTTTCATTTAGTGGAGAAAAAGAAGAGTATAAAAACCAGGCAAAAAGCAAGAGAAGTTAAACAGGGACTGCTGTGGCCTCGTAAGACAGCAACTTTGACCTGTCACTGATCAGATGAGCTACCAGCTACCAATTCTCTTTGCTGAACATTTTCAAGAAGAGCAGCCATTGAAAACTTCCCTTTCTGACTTCAGTGAGCTTGAATATTAATATTGAAAGGAGAAAGGAAGCTACAAATTACATTTTAAAATAATTTTAAACTTTTCCATGCAAACACCAATATGCTGCAATACTGCTGCTGCTGCTTTACGGAAATCAAAACGGGGGAGAGAGGTTTAGAAATATGACATGGAAAAAGCTACAGCTTGCATAACTAATATTAAATCATCAGGAAATCAATTCCATCAACTCCTGACAAATACTTTGGTGCATTTCTTCCTGACAATGGTAAATCATCGACTGGCTAAGAAATTTTCCATGTAAGTAATGACTTTTAAACCTACAGCACTAGCGTCAATGAACAGAAGATAAGAGACATGCGTGCCTCTGCTGTTTCCAGGCAGGCAGAGCTGTTCAGAGCTGCCTTGAAGCTTTTAAGATTCTTATTTTTTGTGAAATTTAAATATAAATGAGAGATGAAACCTACATTTCAAAAGATTCTAAATTTGAAAGCACAAAAGAGTGAAACAAACTGCTCACAGGCAAAGATTGTGCATGCAACTGTCAAATAAAATCCTCATTTCAAGCCGAGATCAATTGTGCTCCTTTGCTTACTGAAATTCCCAGACTCCACAAACTGTTACTCAGGCAAACTTCTTCTAAATTTACTAGTGGTGTAAGTCATTGTCCTGACTAACACAGACAGGATCTGCATCTATATTTTCTATAAAGGAATTCACTGCATTAGCATCAATGATGCTTTCTCCAAAATGAGTTTATTTTTTTGTTCAAAATACGTTGTGTTGACACTTGAGGTACAGAGGAAGGGACAATACACGGCCGTAAGCGTGCATCCTGCTACAAACACCTGAAAGCAAACCTTGACCCAGGGAGAGAAAGAAGACTTAGACAGGGATGTAGCTTCTCATTCATTTTTCTGATCAGCTGCCAACACCTGTGTATTTTTGTATGAAAATTAACTACCCTTAGTAAAGTAAAACTGCTAGCAGTATCATCCCCACAATGCTCTTGCTGAAACTGCTGAAAAACACTTGTGCATCAGAGCAGTTTGGAAAGTAAAATATTTTTTAAATCTATGAAGGGAAACAGGAATATGAAGGACACCATCAACACAACTTTGAAAGACAGCTGTAACATTTTGCAAATTTCACAAAGTACTCTCTTGTGTTTGTAGGTACTATATTATAGCCACGAACAAGATCAATAAATGTTAATGTCTCAGAGACTAGTTCTGATTCACAGGCTAAAAAAAAAGCTGTGAAAATTATTAGATACATTAAGCAATGATAAGCACTTCTTCTGAGATAAATGATCAGAAACCTGTAAATGTGGCCATGATGCCTCCAAGGTGGGCTCATCTTCTTCTGGATCAAATTCATTGCTGTCACTAGGTGGGAGAGTTCTGAAGATATTGCAAGATACCTGAAAAGTGAAACAAAGAATAATGAGATCTGTTTTTCAAATAGGTACTATTTCTGGACTGTTTATGTCTATACCTAATCAATCCTCCATCACATAAGCAGTATTTCTTTTGCCTACTGTCTGACAAAGTTCTTTAGCAACAGCACAGGTCTAAGGAACCTGTCACTTTACAAACCTACCAACAGTCTTGGCTTTTCCTACTCCAAGTCCTCTGGTTTCTTCTTCCCACTGATATCCAAGCATTACCCAGTCTGTCACCATTTCTGTCCACCACATTCCAGATGAGCCCACCAACATGTAATTCCCAGTCCTTCTGGGCATCAATGGGCTGAGAGCCCCGACTGTTTAGGAGTTGCGGGAAGTGCCATCGACATGCATTTACAAGCGTTTTCATACAACACTTGGTTATTTACCTTTGCACAGGGAAAACATTAATAATATCTGTTTAAGGTCTCATCTCCCAGCCCTTGTTAAGAGTCGCCAGTGCTATTCACACATTATACGCCTGGACACCTCATGCCAAGTACAGAACTTGGTACTAAATGCAAGCAACAAATAGTATTTGCTTGACACTTAGCCTACATTTTATTTCACGGTTGGTTCACTTTGCTTAATCTTATTTAGAGGTATTTTGCTGAGACTGCTTGGCTTTGTGAGGTTCACGCTATCAGCAAAGACTGAACTGGAGTGCTTTCCTGGGTTAATTATAGTGCTGAATGGAGTGTAGAGCTTATTATGCAGCAAATCTGATAAACTGAAAACATGATGTAGGGCCTTTTCTGCACTTTGAAGGTGATGTGCCTTCTTTGCACTCTGCTATTTCATTTGACCCATCTCTAAGCTGGTTAATCAAACAGCTGGGAAAAGCAGCATGTTATCTCCTAATCCTATCTATACATGAGCCCTTCATAGTAGTTCAGACAAACTAAGCTATTTAAGAAACAAAACTAGTATGTTCTTCAACATCCTTATTTATTTTTCCAGCCTTTTACTCCTGTAAATGTTTTAAAGTTAGTCGGTAGGCGTATTTTCCATATCTTAGCAACTTAGTAAGAAAGGGTACTTTAAAGCCAAGAGTTTAAATACAATCCAAATAGTGATAAAACCAAATTGAAATAGACAGAGTGAAGTTTTAGAATTTGCAAGGCAAATAGAACAGATTCAGATACTGCATA